CTGGGGAGATGGCTCAGTAAAGTGCTTGCCTTGCAAATGTGACACCCCAAATTTGATCCCTAATACCCCTTTTAGAAAGCTGGGAGTGGTGTTGCACTCCCAGCACTGGGAAGGTAAAGTGGTGGCCAGTCAGCCTAACCTACTTGATGAACTCCAGTCCAGTGAGAGACTGTCTCATTAAGGTTCGTGACACCTGAGGAAAGACACCCCAGGTGACCTGACCTGTCTTCCACATGCACATACAAATAAAGGAGAACTGAAGGTGGTCCCTGATACTAGCTCTCAATCTGCAGTATTACACCTCTCCGTGGCCCTAGTGTTATAGTCACACAAAATAATCTGCAGGACTAATGTTGTTTCTTCAGAGAACTTATACTCAAACCCGTAAACGCAGGTAGAAGGGGAAGTTGTGGGATCAGCATCACTTTGGATGCTGACAAGCCTGCAGCAAACTCAACAGCCATTTACCAAGGCATGCGTGCTGAACTTGCAGTGTTCCAATTCGAGGGCTGAATAAACAAACCAACAGTATTCTTACTTAATGAGGATTGCCAAAGCCATGTGAACTTGGAAAGCATTTGGGTTATTTCGTGCACTTCTGAGAAAATAGTGTGTTTTGCTTTGAGACAATTGAATAGGGTTCATTTACCAGTCAGGTAGAAAATACAACACATGCAGATGCAGAGGTCTAACAGGCTTCTTCTAAAACTTTCAGGCAGGTGTTAGGTGCTATAATACAAGCCACAGTAGTTAGGAAAAGAATAGCTGAATCTTAAATTGCTTCTAGCCACAGAAGTTCATATGACTAATGCTTTTTATCTACGTTTGTGAGAAAAAAAATTGCTCAGTTTTCAAAAAATAAAAAAGTTTTGCCCTTCTGATGAGTATTATCCCCTACAGGGAGTTTGGGGGCCCTGTCTGTGGATTACTATTGGTAAGTCTTAGGAAGGATCTAGACTAAATTTCTTAGGAGTGACCAAGGAGCTCTAACAGCTGCCAGAATGTCTCCACATACTGTCAGGTGGATAGCATGTGTTGTTTATTTCTGATTTTTTTTTCTTTACAGCTCCAGGTAGTTTGAATGGTGCCCAAGTCTTTTGCAAGCCACAGAGCCCAAAGTTAAAATGACTGGAGAGTTGAAGTGGGGAGGAGTGAGCAAGAGGGATGGTGGAGGTATTGGAGATTCAGAGGGGGGTACATGGGGATCCAGGAGAACAGAATTGAAGATTGAAACGTGCAGAAAGGAAAATCGGAGTCAGGCTGAAGGAAAAACTCTCATGGGAATTAGTTTGGAGAGAGCTCAAGTTTCCTGAAGGAGTTGCTGATGTTTCACATCATATTATAAGTGTACCCACAAAATTGTGGCAATGTTGGCAGAACAGTGTATAGTGGTTCAAGAGGAGTGTGGGGGCCGGGTGTGTATGGAGTTCTCTGGTACTTACGTAGCACGTATGAACTCCTGAGTTTGATCCCCAGTATGGAGGGAGGTTTCGGTTAATTGATAATGTTCTCATTCGAGGGACATTCAGAGCACGAAGTTGCTGTAATCTCTGTACTTGGAAGATGAGGCGAAACTCAGGAGTGGATGCCAACCCAAGCTGCAGAGTGAGACCCTGTGTCAGAGCAACAACAGAAGCATTTCTAGCAGTAGTGAATTTCGTTGAAAACTAGATACACCTGTCAACTGACTGATAAACCGACCAGCATTTCAGAATGCAAGAGGAATCTCTACAAAGGGTACAAAAATGTCCTGCCAAATTTCCTGAGCTACTTCCAAAGAAGGAAGAGACTCGCAGTAGTCAATAGGATGCTAGCTGAAAGTGGTCATGACTCATATTTCTGTCTGACCTTTCAGTATTACACAGGCCTGATAACCTGTGTGCCTCGATACAAAGCCACATAAACTCTCAGGACACAAAATGAGAAAAAAAGAAAAGGAATGGTTATTTCTGGGTAGGGAACAATTTAATGGTTTCTTCTTCCAAACCAAGGAATTAACTTTTACCAATTTTTTCTACTGCTAATCTATAGTTGGGAAGGAAGAAGCAATATATTTTTTGCTGTCCCTAAGACAGACAAAAACATGGTCTCACTGTGAGACCAGGACAGTCTCCAGGCTGTCCTGGAACTCACTATTTGTACCTAGCGTCCTTCTCTCCTTGTTCTCTTGCACTTCCTCTTCTTTTCCTCCCAGATTTCTCCTTCTATTTATTCTCTCCGCCTGCTAGCCCCACCTATCCTTTCTGACTGCCTTGCTATTGACTGATCAGCTCTTTATTAGACCGTCAGGTGTTTTAGACGTCAAAGTTACACAGCTTCACAGTGTTAAATGCAACATAAAAGAATGCAACACATCTTTGCATCATTAAATGCCCACAGCAAACAAATGTAATACATCTTAAAATAATATTCTACAATAAAGTATATGCAGAGGACCTAGTTGAGACCCATGCAGGGTCCACTTCAGTCTCTGAAACCCATCAACCCACCCACAAAACCTTTGACCTGCAAATTGTCCTCCCTGCAAGATGTGTTGGGGAAATGGTGGCACAGAACTTGTGGGAGTGGTCAACCAATGACTGGTCCAACTTGAGGCCACCAGAGGGATCCCAAACCTAACACGGTCTGGATAGCCCAGAGACCAAGGATAGAACCAAACATGGCTGTCTCGCCACCCCCCCAAACACAAAGTCAATTAAATTATTCCTAATGATAGTCTGGTTTTGCCTTCTTAACAAGCACAGTAAGCAGAGATCTAAGTGGGCAGTGTTTGATAATAATTTTGACCTCTTAACCCCTGCTAGTATTCCCAGGACTCTGGCAACTTCTAGAGTGAATAGGATGCCCCACAGATGCCATTGTCAACACATAAAACTATAGAGCAATAAAAATAGTATTCTCTCTACTCTTCATAGACTGAGCCTTGCCATGCAGAGTCCACTATTCGGCTGAACTGAAACTTGTGATCCTCCTCCCTCTGCCTAGGAATACAGGAGTGCACCCCCATACCTGTCTTACCCTTTATAGTTCATGTTTGGGTGGATTCTTGTAATAGCCAATTTGCAAGGGAAAAACCTAAGTAATAGTTTGTGTGTCTATTGCATACCTGGAGATACCTAGGGAAAGAAAGATAAGGCACTTTCTCCTCCCTTCTTGGTCACTTGCTTTGTAGAATTCTATTTTGGTTAATTTATGTTCCTGTGTATCTTCTAGCTATTTTTTTTAACAAGATTTAATTCGCTTTATTTTTCTTGTATAAAAACACCATTTGGTAACCACAGCTGGAGCCTGAGTCCTCTGAATTGAGTCTCTGGTGTGGGTTTTCACAAGATGGTCAGTGAATTCCTGGTAAGGAGACTTAATGAATAGTCTCTTTCCAGAGGTCAGGGGTCAAGTAGTTGTAGGTCTTGGAGATGGCATCAAAGGAGACTGTATTAGTCAAGGTTCTCTAGAGGAACATATCTAATAGAATGAATATAATATATACATATATATATTACATATTCACTCTATATAGAATATATAAAGAAGATTTATAATATACAATTTATTATTACTGTAATTAATGGGGCAATTCCACGTAATTTATCTGGTAATCAAGAGAGGTTTATTTCTGGGATAACTTACATTCATCCAATAGGGGTTGGTTATAGGATCAGGGAGAGATGAGGTACCATCCAGCAGAGAACTCTGGCTTGGTGTCCATCCAGCTTCCAGGACCACGAGGTATCCAGAAGGGGCTAAGGGGCTCCCTCTCAGCCACACCCCAGGGGCAGGTCATAGGCAGGTGTGGCAGTTACCTGCTGTCAATCTAGGAGCAGTGTTTCAAGATCAAAGCTGGAACAGCTACCCACTACAATTTATATTATGTTTAAAATAATATAAATATTTATTATATATGCTAATATTTTATATTTATTTAATATTATATATAGGGGATTTATTAGAATGGCTTACAGCCTGTGGTTCAGCTAGTTCAACAATGGCTGTGTTAGTAGACATTCTTCCTCTTCAAAGTTATTTTCACAAAGTTCATTTATTAAAATTGTCTCAGGATGTTGTCCAGGCTAGCCTCCTGTGATCACACGTACATCTAGCTTCTGAGTGCTAAAATTACAGATGGTGCCCACCAAGTCTAACAATCAGGAACTTTTACCTTTATACATTATGTGCCTGCTAATATATAGAGAAACCCTTTCTCACAGTTGAATTTAATTTTATTTTTTGGTTGTTGTGTAGACAGGCTCTCTATAGCTTAGATTGCCTTTAACTTGCAACAGTCTTGCCTCAGCCTCTTGAGTGATAGGACTACAGTTATGAACCACCATATTTGGTTTCATGGTTTTTTTTTTTTGAGGTGTGTGTGTGTGTGTGTGTGTGTGTGTGTGTGTGT